TGAACGTATTTAAAATTTTTTTTTAGAAGTACTTTGTATTGATAAAAAAGTTCTTAGAGGAAGCTAGACTAAGAGTATCTCTGTATCTTCAAGAGACTATTTTTAAAAAGTATATTTTATAATTTAGAGTATCAATAAATTTAGAGAGTAAAAAATTTTAAATACACCAACAATCTATTCCATATGTATTTATTATTTTTCTCTATATTTTATTTTAATCAATTTCCCTTCAAATTATTATATCATTTCCCTTCATTTTTGTGTATGTACAATTTAATTGGATTAATATATGGAGCATCGGAATATTTTCAATGCGTTTAATTATAGAGAATGAGTTTTGTAATTTGAAGAGTCAAACTCGTTATTTATTTATAATTGAAAAATTTCTTGAAGCATATTTTTAAGGGTTACTCTTTAAAATAGATAGCATTTCACTTTTAAATAGACATTTAAAGATAATCTAAAGTAGCTCCCTCAAAAAACTCTTTTAGAAGAAGTTGTTACGCATATTCAACCGAGGCTCCAAAAGAGGCCCACATGACTGTCAATCAGAAGCTTAAAGTCCCACACTCCACGCATAAACGATGATGAAGCAAATGTGCCTTAACCGAAGCGTCACTTGAAGTTGAAGCAAAGTGAACAAAGCGAGACGCCTCCTGCTACGAGCCACTTATAGAAAGGCGATCCACCTCTAACCTCTTTCAATCGAAGCGCCATGTATGAGGTCGAAGCCCGTATGACCAAAATGGAAGCCTCCTAATCGAGTATCTTTCATAGCCGCTTCTCCCAAAGATCTTTTGCATAAAGATCTTATGAAAGTGAACGATATGACATCTTGCAACAGAAGAATGTCAAGTCTTATTAGCTTACTACATAGGTACGTAGACCTAAACCATATGGTGGCTACCTTTTCAGATTACATTAAATGCTGCATGTCCTATGATACATGAGGTGACTCCTAGGATGGTATGCTTTGACCATTAGGATGAGCTCACATATTTCTTCATCCAACGACCTCCTCTTCTTCTATGTTACTATAAAAGCTGACAATCAATACTAACTCAAGAGTAATGCAATTTTAACTCTCAAACACCGTAAGATTGCTCTATCATATAATCATACGCATTGTCAGCGCTCGACACTTTCGTGGCTTAGTCTATAGCACTTTCCACACCAATATATTTCTTCCCATCGCAATATCCTTCCTCACCATCGAAGAAGGCCACGAGTTACTAACGGACTGTCGAGTGTGTAGAAGAAAGGCTTACGTGGATGCAGTTGATCCGAAATCTGTTGGCCACATTGAACATACAAAAATCGAGATCAACTGAAGTAAAAGGAAAAACAAAAATCTTGCCAAATGAACTCCTAAACCGAGGACCAACTTCTACACTATTTGATTCATCATTATCCAGGACCTTAAGTTTCTTGAAGAAGTGTCTCATTAATGGGTAAATTACCCCCATCGAGGTAATTGAACTGGAAAAATTATTGATTTTTTCAATGTGTTGTTTACAAGTTAGAGCCTGCGGATTAAAGGGCTATAGGGTCTGTTTTGTCATGTCTAGATCAAAATGAATAATTATTTAATGGGTAATTATATTACCACCACAAATTTTGTTATTTACACCACAATCTGAAGTAATTTTTTTATTTACTTAAATAATCTGAAGCTAAATTACATAAATGGGTTTAAATAAATTTATTACAAAAAACAGATGTAGATCTCAAAAAATAACAGTTCAAAATGTGAATATTTGAGTGTACACGCAGAAAGGGAGAGAAAAACGATTCAAGAACCCTCACGAGAGAAATCTTGAAAAGGCATGTTTACAAAAATTTCCTGAATCATGCTGGGCTGCCAGGGAGGGTGACACCCTCCCTGACAGGCCCCTCACAACATGGGGGAGGAGGGGAATTTTTTCCTTTTTTAATTCATATGGGCCTCGCATGGGTCCCACCACAAATGTGGGAGGATGTCAATCAAAGTGTCAAATTTACTTTGGCAAAATGGCATTTTCCAAATTTCCTCTTCGTTTTGTCTCTTGAAAAATGTACCCACCACTAAAAATTAATTGGAAAAGTAAGAAGCATGAATAATGAGTCAATGAGAGGCTCAGAGTAATGATTTTCCATGGGAGAATCTGAAAATTCAATTAAAAAAAAAAAATCTGTAAAATAAGATATAATCCTAGTAAACAACTCATTTCTGGAATAAATTCATTAGCAAATAGATCTGTAAATCTTAAGAAAAACAACACAAAACAAGGAAAAAAAACCATCATTCACATAGACGATGTCTATGTCCGTATGATAGAAACGTAAAAATGCTTTCTTTCACACCAAAAAGAATCTCAAATCCCACAAAATCAGAGGGAAAAAAACGTATAAACAAAGTAAAGAAATGAGATTTTAATATATTTATTACATAGTCAAGTTTGTGTCTTCCAATTAATTTAAAATGGATGGAAAAATTGAGGAGTCGTATTGAGATGATGAGTACACCAAAATTTGTATTTTTTTTTCTCATTTTTAGCTTCTATTAAATCAGGAGTATAATTATAAATTTGTTGTGGTGTACTTATTAAAAATATTTTTTAATTATAAATTGTGTGGTGGTAATATAATTATCCTTATTTAATTTCTGTTTTATGGAATCACCATGCAACTTGCAAAATAGAGTAATTTATTATGTAAAATCACAATTAAATAATAATAAAAATTGAAAAGAAAATACGGAAATAATTTAATACAAGTATAGTATCTCATTCTCTTTTTAATTACAATATCGATCAAATAAATTATCTCTTCCTAGATACAACCAAATTTAACGTTATATGACTCAAACCTAGATTAAAGTACAAATTATCAACTTCTGAGTTTTTTTTTTAATATTAAAAATATATTTTAATAATATTAATGAATAACACAGCACAAGGTTTAGAAAGTTCTCCCCTGAGACAAGAATCTTAGGATCTGAGTTTGATAAAACGACTCTTCGACAATTACTTTTGTCTTCATATATACACAATTGACACTAATATAAATATATTACAACGTGAGTAGTCCAAGAGCATAAAAGGTGGAGTGTTTTATGCTAGAATTTCTCCATGATATTGCTGCTTATTTCTTTTTATCCTCTCACGTGGTATTGTTGGGTACGACGAGGCTTTTATATCTCTAAGGTGAGTTATTTAAATGACGATGATTGAATGATATAAAAGGTTTTGTTTGTTCTCACTAGATGAGATAGTTAATATCTAATCCTAAGTATAAATAATCTAAGTCTCTTGTCAACGGTTAAGTGAATTTTCAAGTTTGAAGTTGGGTCGGCTGTTATTGCACAACATGTTCGGTAAAGTCGATTAATAGTAGTAACTAGTAAATACTAAAGAAGAAAAATAAGTTTAAGATTTATACTATTCCATATGGTTTAGTACTCAATATTAAGTATGTACTATGTGTTTAGTACGTAGAAAAAGATGTAGAAGAAGAGCTTAAGACATATAAAGTGGCTTCTTGTTTTCAAGATGCCCTGAGCGCTAGCTCTCTCCCATGTCCCGTCCATTGACTGCCCAGAGATCAATGCTGCTCTCTCGTCCCTTCCTATAGAATGTGTCCCCAAGCTTAATTCTTACTATAGGGCAGGGGCGGATCGAGACCATTTTTCTTGTGGGGTCAAAAATGAGAATTCAAAAATGTTTAGATAAAAAAAAAAAAACTCGAGGAAAACTCCAAAAAAAAAAAAAATTGTGGGGTCATTTGACCGCAAGTGGGTCCGCCAGTGCTATAGGGTTCTTCTCCTTTCCCTTCGGAGGCTGATTCGTATGCTCTCCCTTCATCTGCGCTTTCGACTAAGCGTAATTCCACCTATTGTTAAAACTTGATAATATAATAAACGAAATTTTAAATTTTTTTTTCCTTCTGTTTGAAACAAAACATAGATTAAATTTGAATGTCTGCACAAGTAGTACAAGGACCACACTCTGATGCATAAATTTGGCTGTACACTAATCACCCCACGGCCCATAAGAACATTTTCTTGTATTTTTCGTACAACTCTTAGCTGCTTAACAGACAGACAGAGACACAAATCTTATCAGCCAGGAAAGCTTGATGAGATAAGATGCCCTACAAAACCATTTTTCTGTTTTCATCTGAAAGAGAATAAGAGAGAGAGAGAACTTTTCACCCGGCAGAATAATTATTGACATGTCAATTCATTTTCATTTTATAGCATAATTTGTGTTACAGTTAACACAGAGACAGGTATATGAATCTATGCATTATTTTCTCTTGCTACTGGTGCAGATATAAAATGGCAGCAGGCAGGACCATTTCATCCCCAGTAATGTTTTGTTACTTTCAAGTAATTATTATTATTCTCCAATTTTAATTCAACACTCGCCACCCGTGCAAGCTCGACTCATTAAATTATTTTATGACAGAACTGGCATGTGGCGTTAAGATTTCAATGTTGTTTACCTTAATATCACGTTGAACTATCTCGTCTAAAAGTTTAAGGTAAATATAAATGTCAATCGAAAAAAAATCTTACAAAAACAGAGAGCTATGAATATCGTCTAGCAAAAGCGAATTACAATGAACTAGTTCAGTTGCTCTCTTCACTGCAAGTATAATGCAACTTGTAACTTTTGTAGATGAAAAATCAGAAATATATTCTAATTGAAGTCATAAATTTACACGAAAAATCAGAAATAAATTAGCATTTGATTAAAAAGAACAATTTTATTTACAGAAATATATTATTTCAGCTGTCATATTCATGCCCAACCATTCATTTTGTACTTTTTCTACACAAGTTAACCTCCATCCAACACAACCCCCGAAGAAACATACAAGACTTGTTCGATAGAATGGACTGGACTGGACAAGGCTAATCATGATTACAAAGAAACAGAAGTTAAAATATCGGTGATTCTAAAAACTAATCAACTGTATATTGATTTATTTATATATCATTTTCATACAATGATACATCAAACATTTGAAGAAGTTAGAGCATTGTCAACAATTTTCTCAATGATCTCATCCTCCATCGTTTTATCTAAAGATAAACAAGGACTAATGAAGGAAGCAGAAGAAAAAAATGACGAAGGAGAGGTGAAAGAATGCGTAGTAGTAGTAGAAGAAGAAGAACAACGACAACAACGAGGCTCGTCAATGGCAAACAAATCAGAACCAGAACCAGAAGCAAATGGAAGATTAACCAACAAATCCACAAAAGCTCCAATAATATACCCATGATTGCTTTTATCATTGACTTTAAGATAACAAGCTAGAAGTTCTTCAAGGCAATCCCAATCCTTCAAGCCATGAGCCTCCACCATTTCCTCCATAGAAACCCGAAAGTCCACAAATGGATCTCTTGAATCCATTGCCATTACTGCCACACTTTCTTTAAATGGAAACTCATAGCCAATTTTGATTGCTTCTTCAAGTATTGAGCTTGTCTCCTGTGCAGGCTCAAAAAACAGCCGGTCAGCCGTCCTTAGACCACGAATCATTGTCTCAATACTCGACTCATGACCGTTAACAAACACTTGTGATGCATTCAAAAGACTTTCATCACATTCAAGAAATGAATCTGAGGTACTGTCACTGCATTCAGTGGTAACTTGGTCGAGATAATTCGTGGTTTTTAATATGTTTTCATCGTGGGATCGGAAAGAGTGGGTTTTAAGGTTGCTGACACAGGTTGGCCATGGCCAAGAGGTGGTGCTGGTTGTTTCTGAGGCTTTGAAAAGAAAAGGTAGTCTCTTGCCCATTAGGTAGGTATAGGTAGCTGAGATTGTGTATATTATTGGGATAGTTTGTATTCTTGAAAGCTTGGGACAGGGCGGTTCAAAGGTAGATTTTGAAGGAGTGGTGACACGTGAGACGAGTTTGCAAAGTATTAATAGTCAACATTTGAAACTTGAAGACAGGTAGAAACAGAAAAGTTCGATGCTAAAAATGAGATGCAGTGGTCGATTCAACTGTAACAATTAAATCATAGTAAGAGTTTTATTAAAATTTCAGAAAATATTACTTTGAGCGAACAATAAAAAGTTGGAGCGACTTATCTACTTTTAAAATTAAATAATTAATTATAAAATAAAAGGTTTATTTTATTGATTTCATTAAAAAAAATGGTTAGTTTATTCATAAGAAAATGTCTGTACTTCGTACAGTGATAAGAGTTTCATATTTTTATAAATCCTCGTCAGGATTCTAACAAAAACTATTACAAATTATTATTTTTTCTTACTTGGGGAAATTTTTACAATTAGTACCTAACCTTTAAAAAGGGTTTTAATAAATTTTATAGCTTTATCGTTTTCTTCAAACTTAGCTCTCTTCAACTATGCCATAGTGCCTCAAAACAAAAGTTCTAGCTCTACCTTCGTTGTGATTTACACAATTATAAGTTTTATGTATTTCATATGCTACATTTATCGAATTTTTATATCAAATCTTTTACACCCCACTCACATTAAGATGTGGGGACCACAAGCCGAAATTTTTAAATACACATGGGGCCCGCGCTCATTGGAGGAGGGGGACACCATTTGGTACCCCCATTCGGTACATTTAAACTAATTCTTCAATTAAATGTTGCATTGTCTTGTTGAGTATACTCCTCATAAATTCCTAGAAATCCCTATATTTCTAATAGACGCCATTTTCTTTTACATGCTCGACACATTTCTATTTCTAACGTTGAGTTGATCAGAACATCTTATGTTATATGTTAAGCTCAAGCTTTCTTATTAGGGACGGGTGCCTACTTGCATCAATCAAATCGTGCTGAGATGATTTTTTGTTCGATAATAACAATTGGTTAAACTCATTACAAAATGAAATCCACTAAAATAAGAAATGTTGCTGCATATACTACCATCGCCAATTTCCAATGGAATTTCCTGAGAAAACGAAAAAAAAAAAAAAATTACAGAAAATTCCGGTTCAAAAAACCGGAGAAAAATTCCATTACTGATTTTAAAAGAATTAAAAAAATGAAATTTTCAACATCTTATTTTTTGTCTTGAATTTCAAAATTATTTTAAAAAAAAAAATCTCACCGAATACCTAAATTAAATACCCGTTAATTTGACCTTTGAGGGCCTCCAATTCACAATAACACCATTGCCCAAGCCATGAGGACTCGTGCTTGCTGTACAGTGCAAAAAACGTGTAAAATAAGTCAAAATAGGAAACTGATCCAAGGTATCTTTCTTGGAAAACTCTCATGAAAAGTAGAAGCAAAAGCTATCCAAACAAGCCTAACCCATTAGGACTTGTACCCTAAGCTGATGAGCTTGACAAATGAAAGAGTTTATTTGAACTTATGATTGACTTACCATACAACAAAATCTTTGTAGAAAAGGCAATTCCTATGCTGCTGCTAAGATATTTGCATGTATTTTCTATTCTAATCAGAATATAATCTCTTGTGATAATAACTTTATAAAGCTGTAATAAAGCAATAACGTATGAATGTGGAGGGAAAGACAATTAACACGAATTTTCAAATTCTAGAATATTTTTGTCTGCGTCCACGTGAGCGACACTAAATGAAGTGAATAATCACGTGAATAGAGATGAAGACCTATAGAGGAAGAGGGCTCATATCCATGGAGTGGACCAAATTCTCCAGCTCTAGCCATGGATGAGAATGTATGTGCGTGAGCGCACATGTACGAGCACATAGATGTAGATGCATTTGTATGTACACATAAACAGACACTTCCTACATTAAATACGACTCCCAATTCCATGCTTATTAAGGCAACAACTTTATGGACCACAATTTCGCATGTTATAGGGGTCCAGTTTGCCCTCAGATATACAGCACCTTAGCACTGTGGGGTGTAGTTTGATGGATGCTAGACTGTTGATTTCGCTCTAGATCTTAATTGAATGGACCCTGCAATGTTAAGGCCGACATTTTGGGGATGGTCCTTTTCTAGCTTACTCAGCTTATCAATCAAACTCTAAAATCAGACTAAACACAAGACTATAGTACACACAAGCTATCTCTAATACATTAAATTGAATGTGATCAAAGAAGATAGACATTTAAGATGTTTATCATGTAACATGTCCATTACCTGGTCCCATTTTCGAAAATTTGGGTGTGGTCCTTTGTGCATCACTTTTACTGCAGAAGTGATCTATATATGGCGGTAGACAGCTAGTTGCAGGCATGGTGCTTCAGGATTGATAGAGATTGGAGTCAATGGGGCAGCAAACTTTATGGCCAAGTACATCCGATGACACAAGTTTAAAATCATCAAGTTGCCTATTCGGTATGAGTGCACGAATTCTGGGAGTAGAGCACTCGTATAACCTCCAGTGTGCCAGGCAGTGAGAGAAGAAAACACAGATATTAAGAAAATTAGTTCAACAAACAAAAACAATTGCCATTACTGAATACTGTCAAATTCAACATGTTCATCTGCCAGAAAATGTCATGTGACATACATTACTATTAGCATGAGATGAAGACAAAACAGAGACAAATTTATTCAAATAGATGAAACTCGACCTTCATTAGCAAAATATAATTTTATTTTGCAATACCAAGAGAAATGAAACAAAAGAATTACAATGAGAAGTACCAGTTATTTTTGCACCATGTGCAAGTTTCAATAGAATAAATGTTTTCCAAAACTTACTTTTACAAGCACGTGTTAGAAATCACCCCTTAAACCAGGTCTGTAAACGGAGGGTGTCAAAGTACTTTTAAAATCCACCCCTCTTTTTAAAACCGGCATCCCCAACAACCATATTCCCAGCTAGGTGACTTGCGGATCCAGCCTTTGCCTGTAGCATCATCTACAAAAAAGGTGGGCGATCTGATAGCACCATTGCAAGCATATTGGGCATAATTCAACCTTAAAACGAGCATGCAAGGGGAGGATGCCCAAGTGCTAATATACCCATTACTCACAAGCCAAATCTTAACCCAGTGACGTGGGACTCGAATAGGATGGTTACACTCCCCATTGGATAGCTTACATCGTAGAGATTGTGATCTTCAAATATCGTATTGACCATCAAGAACTGCCTAAAAAGAGTTTCAAAGAAAGGATATTTCAAAGCAAGCATCCATTCCTTCTGTGAATGACTCGACTTTGTCACACGACTGTCATAACACTAGAAAGTGAACAAATGATGAAAATTACAAAATTCACAATAGTTAAAAAGTTGTAGAAGTTCGCAAGAGTTTTGACTTGCACAAGTTGATCTCTCTACACTGGTAGTGCGCCTACTGAAAATGCAGAGTTGTGAGAGCGTTAATTGAGCTTCTAACTCGACCAAGCAATAAATACATGCCAAATCTAGAGGTGATTCATAATAAATAATTCAGGACTTACCACATGATAGAAACGCAAGCAGAAAGGGAGCCCAGATCTCCCCTACTACTTTGCAACGTAAATGACCATAATGACCAGATGTCTACACCATCTCATACAAAATTTATCTGGCCAAATTTACATAACAATAGGTGTTAATCATTTCAAAGGGATATCCAATCTATGCGTTATTACTGATGCCAGAAAGCACCACCAACCGTACAGATGCTAGTACATAATAACTATACAAAACAAAAACAATCCACAAAATCCATAAAATAAATACTCTATTTGAATGCCTCAAATTACCATGGAAGTAACCAACAAAGATAGTAATCTTAATATTTGAAATAGAATAACGATGCAAGGTGAACAAAATCTTTATATATAAATTATCTTAACATATCATCACAATTCACTGTTCAGCCTACGTTACTACAGATAGAAAAAAATAGTAAGCAAAGTCTACTTATTTTGGTCAAAATGAAATTTGTCTCCTGCCAAAAAATTTCTTCAATATGTCCATTCGGTCATGCAAAATGGCTGTAGTGCCCTTTTATTAAAATGGACTAGAATTTGTCAACTTTGCCTATTTAGAAAACATTGCCTACGTGGTTTGAAATTTGTGCGAAAAGGAAGAGAGTATCTAATTGGACTTAAACTCTCATCAACTTTGCCTTGTTTGACGAGAGTACCTAACTGGCTCAGAATTCGTGCAAAAAGGAAGATGAAAGACTTCGGTAACACTTCTGAAGAAAGAGAGGTATATTTGGAAGAATTCAACAAAAATCTCATAAAATGGACATCTTTGAAAAAAACGAATCCTTGTTTCCAAAAGTGACCTCCCCATCTAGCTTCCTCAATTGTAAATAAGCCATTTTTAACATCCCACTATTATTTTTTTTTTTAATAAGTAATCAGAGAATATATTAATAAATCAAGAGATAATACATGGAAAATGTATTATCAATTTAAACAATACAGGAACGACATGAAATTAGGCAACCCTTCTATATGGTTATTAGCCACAGTATTAAACCAACTATACAAAGTCAGATAAAAGAATTCTCTGAACTGCTCTGTTGTTCTTGATTGGTCTTCAAAACAGCGGCTATTCTTTTCTCTCCACACGCACCATACAATGCATCTCGGAATAAG